GGGAAAGAGAAAAAAGATTTAAAAATAACTATCAATATAAAGATACAAATATAGTACAGAGAGTTCAAAGAATTCCTAATAGTATTTACTGGGTCACTTGTCTATTTATAACCCATTCATTCACCCAAAAAAAATTTACTAAGAGGCCAGCCAGCAGGTGGCAAGGTGGTTAAGGCGCTGGATTCCCACATAGCCGACAGCAGTTCAAGTCCCGGACCTGGTGGCTTACTTCCTCGCTTTCTTCTCTTTCTTTCTCTCTCTCTGGTGAGTATATGTGCCCTATAGCAAATTAAAATGGTAATAATGATAAATAAAATTAATTTAAATTTTAAGAAAAAGAACTACTGAAGGCCAGGCTCTTAGGATACATGTGTGAGTAAAATGAAGGCTCTGCCCTCAAGGAGCTTACAATCTATTACAGGTAATCCCACAACCTTTTTCTGATGAATAAATGTTACTAAATTTTTCTGAAACTTTAATATGGAAATAAGTAAAACCAATATGAATGAGAAGCAAGGACACTGCATACCATCTGTTAGTTTTAACCCACTTTTTAAAAGAAAAGGGAGACATGGGAAAATTCATTTTTTAAAAAAAGGGACATGGTGCGAGAGAAATGGAAAAATGGCCAATCACCTCTACGAGGCATGCATCCCTTCCTCCCTCCCAGTGAAGCTGGTGCAATGAGCCAAGGCTACTAAACCACGTGGGACTCTGATACCTGCCTTAAGTCCAACCAGATTCCTGCCTGTGAGATTCACCAGTACTTTAGAATTAAGAGGTTAGCAACCACTTTAATACAGTGTCTTACTTTTGCAGGAGAACGTTGTTTCCGCTTCTTCTTTTTCTGTAAGTCTACTGGCTCTCTGATTTGTTTTTTGTCTCTCATCAGTTGCTCAGATACATCAGTAAAAGTAATTTCCTGCTTTACACTTATCTGTTTAAAAAAAAAGTCAATTTTAGAAATGAATAAAAAGTCCATTGTGACAAAAAGCCATTATATGTTTAAACCTTTGCTAAACCTATACAGATGCTCCCAGAATGACGATGTGTGTATGAGACAACTAAATAGAGTCCTTTAGAGTGCATTAATAGGCAACTGTGATGTAAGAATCAAGATACACAAAGTGAGGGATAAATTAGATTTCTTTAAAAAAAAAAAAAAAACCTGGTAAAAAAGATTAAAGATGCCCAGGGTAGGGGGGCAGGTGGTATGGTGCTGGACTCCCATATGGAGGACCAGGGTTTGAGTCCCAGACCTGGTGGGTTGCTTTCTTTTTTAAAAAAATTACTTATTTAGTTTTATTTATTTATTTTTTTAATTTGACCAAAGACAGAGAGAGAGAGAGAGAGCTAGAGAAGGGTAAAGTGAGAAAGCAAGCCTCTCGGTCCAGGACTCGAACCACAGTCAGCCAGATAGTAGGTCCAGTATCTTAACCATCATGCTACCTTCTGGCTCCCCTGGCAGCTTGCTTTCTCTCTCTCTTTCTTTCTCTCTCTCTCTCTCTCTCTCTCTCTCTCTCTCTGGTGGAATTAAAATAAATACATAAAGTAAAATAATTTAAAATAAAAAAAGATGCCTAGATCAAAAGATCTACCAATATACTACCAAATAGTAATCAGGATATCGTAACAGTCATTTCATTTCTACATTTATGGTGAGTAATGCAGCAGTTAAAAGTACACACAAAAAAGGTTCACTTTCAAAAATTAATATAATATTAGAAAATAGGAGGGGTTTATGGAGACATCTTGATAGGCTTTCATTTTATTTATAAAATATCAAGAAAGTATCACAAAACTAAAATATCATCACATCAAAAGAAAGCTAGCAGGGCCAGCCAGTGGTTGAGATGGCTGGATGCCACATTGCCACCTGTGGTTCCAGTCCGAGACCTGGCAGCTTGGAAAACATGCTGCGCACACGTACTTGTGTGCCCCAAATCCCAAAACAGAGGAAGAAATGGAGGAGAAGAGATTATATGATGACCATCCCACTTAGATGGAGTATTTCTCACTTTTTCTCTCTCTCCATCTGTCTCCGTCAAGAACACATGTCCCCTAGTAAATTAAAAAAGAGGGGGATGGCAAGCAAACAATGAAAATTATCTTCATATGTTCAACATTTTTGACACATTCTAGCCAGTATTTTCCTGACCTCTACAAATTTGTTTATAGAATTGTGTTATAGTTTTAGACTATTATCCTACACCAGACACAATGCTAACTACATAATAAATATAGAAATATAAAAAGACCTATTGAGATTTCAACAATGTTACCCTATCTTTAAACTCACTCCCCACAGAGTTCCTTGTCTTAAAAAAATTACCAAGGTTTTAAGAATATTATACAGTCAGTTTTCTCAGATTTGATGGTGTTCAGTCATGCCCTCCTCACTGCTACGTGTACAATCTATCCTTGAAATGAAAACACAAGAATTTTAAGATTAAGAAACCTTCAGGCCAGCACCATAGCCTAATGGTTAAGGAAGCTGGATCCCACATGGCCAACCACAGTACGAATCCTGGTCCCAATGGCTTGAAAATATACCAGATCTGTGTGCATGCATGTCAAAATCCAGAAGGATAGAGAAATGGAGGACAAGGGATTGTGGCACGACCAAATCCCACTGTGGTATGCTTTCTTCCTCTTCTCTCTGGTGAATGCCCATGCCTTCTTGGCAAATAAAAACTAAAAAAAAAACAACAAAAAACAAAAAAACCCTAAGAAACCTTTGACTCAACAACTTACGGAACACAGTAAAAATCCTTAAGACTGATTGAGATGTGCAGTGTGCTAATAGCCTCATCTTCCAAAATCACACCAAAACATGTGGTACAAAAAATCACGCCCATCGTACAGTCTCACAATATGTGTAAGGAAGACAGAGAGCTGTGCAGAAGGAGTTCATGAAGAAAATGTAACGCAAGATGGGAATTTCAGACTGACAAATAACAAGTGAAGTTTTCATGAATTCCCGATATGTAGGCAATGTGAGAATCAGAAATCAAAACCTCAGTATGAAAACATGTAAATGATTATTTAATTACTAATTCTATCAGATCATAGAGAAGTACACTATCCACTCTTAGAATTTCTGTTGGTATCAATTATTTAGGACACAAACAATGGTGAAATCACCAAGAAAAAAGCATCTTACCACTTCTGAAGTAATGTTTACTGAAATACAACTACTTGAGACCAGCAAAGAGAATAGATAGCCTAAACAGCTGTGAAATCACTGTCATATTTTGCAGGGGCACCAAAAAGTAGCTTAAACATTTCTGTTAGCTTAAAAATTGCAAAGAAACCACAGGAACGTAGCATGCAGCAACAGAAACAGAGAAACTTTTTTTTTAGCAAAAGCGTCAAGAAGACTGTACATAGATCCAAACCTATTAACTATTTCCATGTACGTGGAAAGTGATGACATTAATGCAGTCATTTTCAGATGTAAGGCGTACTTCTAACATTGTCAAAGTACAAACCCAAACCTAAAAGTATTGGTGGATCAAAACACAGTGCATGACAACAAACATCAGCAAGTTATACATTTGCTCCAACGGGCTTATCATTCATAAGTGGGATTATCTTGTCTCTACAAAACCTGTAACTATATTGTAACATGTATGATCCAGCCTAAAGTCCTTAGAAGGTATTCATAAATCCAAAATCATAAAGACATGGGTCTGATAATGATAAGACAGCTAGAAAGAATGAGCTCCAAAAAGTCAAGGAAAACTTAAGCCTTCCTTAGCCCAAGAAGACTTACAACAATACACAAAAACAAACAAAAAAACCCTTAAGCATGGCAAAAAAAATAATTCATCTATAATTCTCTACATTTCCTTAAAAACTTCATTTAAAAGAAGAGGCCAGAGGTGGCATAGTGGTTAAAGCATTGGACTCCCACTATGTGGTTAGAGTCTCAGACCTGGTGGCTTGAATTTGACACTGGACACGTGTGCATGCATGCCCACAAATCCAGGAGGAGAACGAAGAAGAAGGGACTGAAACATAGCCATTCCCCCTGGGGGGGGGGTGGTGGTGGTGGTGGTGGTGGTGAGTTCTCCTTTTCCCCCTTTCACTCTCTCTCTCTCTCTCTCTCTCTCTCTGTGAGTCTCTCTCAGGCAAGCGCATGTGCCCTACAGCAAAAACTTAGAAGAAAGAAAGAGAGAGAGAGAAAAAAATTTTGTCCTCCATGTTACTTTTCAAATAAAATAAACCAAAATGTAATTAATCAATGTAGGTTATCAGCAGATAGATGATATTTTAAGAGCTTGCTAGATTTCTGAAACATTTTCATTACGGCATCAAAAAAATCCCCAATAGTCTGAGAAATACGTCAATTTTTTTTAAGGGGTAGAGGTTTTTTCCTATAGGGCGCATGCACTCGCTAGAAAGACAGAGAGAGACAGAGAGAGACAGAAAGCAAGAAATCACCCCCCAGGGGGGATGGCCACGCTGTAATCCCTTCCCCTTCATTCTCCTCTCAGGATCTTGGGCACGCACACACACACGACCGGCATGAGTTTAAGCCACCAGGTCCGGGACTTGAACCACGGTTGACTACATGGGAGTCCAGAGACATAGCCATTATGCTAACTGCTGGTCCCCAATACGTCAGATTTTTCTAAAAATGAAAAAAAATAAAAGAAACCTCCAATTCCTTCACCATCACTTGAAGTATACCATTCCACTGAATCCCAAATGTTCCCCTCAGTCCTGCTTGAATTCCAATGCTGCTCCACCAGTACAAAAAAACCACCACTACCACATCTATCCTTTAAGCAGATCTGACTAAGCCCAGACATCTCTCCTCCTAAAACTCAAGACCCCTACTCATCCACTGACCCAAACTCCCTCAATTCTTCCCACTTTGAAATTACACAAGCCATCAGGTATGACTCTCACTGCATATCCACCTTCTACTACTCTGTCTCCCCCAACAAACTCACAAGCCAAGTCCTATAATGTCGCACTGCCTCACCCCTTGCCACTGCCAATGCTGATTTTTTCTGGCCAGTTCTGTGATATATATGTCTCTAAATCATGACATTTTTCTCATTTTCAATCTCCCCCTCTTTAATCTCCCAATCTTAAAATTAAGAGGACTCCCTAAATTGAAAAATAAAGATCTTTCCCTTAGTTCTTATTACTAACTCAAGTCCAGAATCAATGACTTAATTTTCCAAGACTTATTTCATTCTGAACCCCAAATAAGCAAACTGTCTTACTTTTATGTTTACTATACATGTACCTGTATAATGTCTTCATATCTGAAAGCAGCACACTCTTTGTTGGTATTTCCCACAGGTGCTTTCACTCTTTATTCACTCAACAGTTATTCAGTGCCTACTCTGTGCTACTGAATCGTCAGGAAAGTCATGACACAGTTTTGCAAAGAAAAACATAGGAAAATATGTCATGACTTACCCAACAACCTAATACATTTAATCAGGGTAAAATAATATCATGAAAACACTTACTGAGATCTTAGTATGTGCAAGGCACCTTTTAGACAATGGGAATATATTCTAAATATGAGGTTCTCCTTCTGAAAGGATTTAAATGTGCATGTGGAGTTCTGATTATATACATACATACATACATACATACATATATACTAATAATCTGGGCTAGCAGGTTGTATGAGGTTAAAGTAGCTGTATCTCACATGGCTGACTACGTAATTCGAGATCTAGCCCCGGCAGCTTGAAAATCCCAGCGGCTTGAAAATCATAATTGGGCACATGTGGATGTGTGCCCAAAATCCCAAGAGATTTTTGGAGGAAAAGGAGTTGCAGAGTAGCCACCCTACCCAGGAGGTGATTTCTTTCTCTTCTCTCTCTCCCTCTCCAGGGAACACAGGTGTCCTAAAAGCAAAACCAAAGAAAACAGAACAAAACAAACAAACCCTAATAATTCAAGACA